AACATTATTCATTTTAGAGTTCAGAGACGAACAACCACAATCATTGATCATTGAGGATAATTTATCATTAGCTTGAAAAAAAAAAGTCAACTAAGAGGGACATTAGTGATCCGAATATTCTTTAGTTGTTAACAAAGAATTCAATGAAAGCAATCAGTCCAATATCCAATAATAGCAGTCAGTCAAATGCAAACTAAAGTCATACTTGTTGGGCAATGATTGGCAAAACCCCTTTTTTTTCTTTCAAAGAAAAATTTACCAAGCGTTTCATGGTATCAAATGGGAATACACAGTTGTTTGCATGAATATTCAGAAAATATTGAGCAGAAGCACTTTAATGCCTGATTAGTTGTGTGGGTTTTGCATTCTCCTCTACTGCCGTTGTATGGGTTTTGAATGCCTAAATGAGGCACGAATTATCGTATGATCCTGTTTTGGAGGCCTTTTTTATGTTGATTTGTTCTAGTATAAAATTTTAATCATATAATCTTTAGTCTTATAGGATTTTACATTAGTCACATTATTGAATATTTAATATTATAAGACTATTTAATTATCAGATCATTGAAAGTCGAAGTTATCAAATGTCACTTATCATTAAAAAATGGATTTTTTATAATTAAAATTTAGGATAATCTTGATTAGAAAATTATAATCTCTTAATCCTCAATGTGGGATGAATAAGGGTCAATCTTTTTAAAGTTAGTATGTGTTGAGATTTATAGAATCCTAACAATTTTACTGCTCAAGTGACCACACTAATCTTGTGCATAATTGTTGGTCAAGAGATTAGTGCATAATTGTTGGTCAAGATTCAAACTTTGTGAGTCTTTTGAGTTTCTTGGTTAGTATGTGCTGGGATTTATAGAATCCTAACAATTTTACTGCTCAAGTGACGACACTAATCTTGTGCATAATTGTTGGTCAAGATTCAAACTTAGTGAGTCTTTTGAGTTTCTTGGTTAATTTTATTTGAAAATTATTGTGTTGAAAAGGCAGAAAAGTTGGTGGGCATAGTTAAAAAATTACTTAGTGAAATTTGGAAAAGGTGGAACAGTTGGTCGGGCCTATTTGTTGACTTTCAACAATCAATAAACCAATTTTTTCAACTTTCTTACGAAAGTCCAGCCCACTTGCTCATGTCACTTGATCAAATGGAAAGTCAATCTCATTTATATAAATTAGTGAGTATCCCGTGCGATGCACCGTTTGATGTACGACAAGCATGATTCTTAAACATTTTTTTTTAAAAAAAAAAAAAATTATTTCAACAATATATTAGCTTGCTAACCATTTTGTTAATTAATAATATTTTAACATCTATATTTATTGTTTGATATAGAAAAATAATATTTTTTCTTATTTTTGTTCATCATAATACTCAACTATTATTTCTTAAAAAAATTATTGTCATATAGTGTCATTATTATTATTATTACTACTTATAATACTTAAAAAAGTAGTAATATATCTAAATAATGATAAATATTTAATATACATTAATATTATTTAGTTATGTAATTATTTTAAAAGTATTTAAACAAATTCAAAATAAATTAAATACATATATGATTTGATAGGAATATTGTTGGTAGGTCATTTAATCACTCAAGTTTCATTGTTGATCTTGTGTTGTTCATTACGTCAGTATTTTAATGTCCCAAAAGACATGACTTGGTGATAATTACCAACATTTTAATCTGAAGGTAACCATATTATTACTGGCTAGCGTTTCAAAAGGTTTGACAGTAGGTAATCTCTAATAAGCAATTGCGAATTTAATTTATTGAAAAAATAAAAATAAAAATATAAGGGAAAGTCGTTAAAGGGCTGACCTTTCTCCATACTAGTAGATATCCTGTGCACATGCACAAATATAAATAAAATATTATAAGTAATATTTGAGAACTTAATATTAAAATTATAGATAATGAACATATTACATTTTTTAAATTTTGATCATTAGAAAAATAATTAACAATTTTTTTATTGTGAACAATTGTTTATTGTCATTAGATAATAACAGTTTGACTATTATTATTTAAAACAATTATTTATAAGCTTCTAAAGTTGTTTGACCAAGCTATTAAAATAATTTACTAATTGGTTTAACAGAAATTTTTTCATGAGATACAAAAGAAAAAGATAATATTGATGTTAATATATATATATATAACTTGAAACAATTGTTTATAATTATGTAATTATATTTATTGTGAATTATTGTTAGTTGGTATTAGCAATAACTATTATATAATATAATAGAAAAATACATGATTACACTTAATAAAATGTATTAATGTGAGAAGTAAAAAAATATTAATGATAAATTTTGTAACCGAAAATGGAGGGAAAATTTTAGAGGTTTTATTAAATATGTTTTATTAAATGATATATGCTAGCAATTATATATATATAGAATATAGATGTCAATATTTTTTGGCCTATGTCTTCCGATAATGCAACCATCTGGAAAGACAATCCAATCAGTGACTAACATACCCACATCCAAATATAGGGAGATGCTACAATCCCGTTACGGAATCATTCCGTCGGAATTTGTAACCATTAGATCAACTTTCCCTGACGGTTACACGATGATCTAACGGTTACAAACTCAACGGAATGGTTCCGTTACGGGACTGTAACATTTCCCTCAAATATAAGGAAAAGCATTCAATTTTAAAACGAGTAAGATTTAAAACTCGCTGAAAACAAAATGAACGCTATGGAACATTGCATACTCGGGATTCCAAGTTCATCAATATGGAAGACTTGGTCGCTAGTTTCGCCTGATTTAGCTATTCCTCGTTAACTGCCAGATTAAAATGAGAGTGCAGACAAGATCAGCAAAATTATCACAAAAACAAAAACATACACAATAAGCTTTGAGACAGTAATAAAATTAGAAAGTAAAATTGTAACACCCCGCCTACTTATTCTAGAAATAATAAAATCAGAGTAAAATTTTTATTTTTTATTTTCGAAAAATTCTTCAACTTTTTTTTTTGAAAATGCTCATACTAACTCGCGGGATGCTACTAACTTAAACTATTTCTCATGCAGACGTATATAAATACATGCAACCTAATCAAATCCGTTATATAAAGGTACAACGGAGATAAATGCATTAAACATGCATAAGTTTGAGTATCTCATAATACTTACTAAGTCCGAAATGTGCGGAAACTGAAACATAATATGTCTACGCATAGTAATAATAATATATGTTCAAATAAATGATATGTAAATGCGCTACAAAAAGACTGCTAATGACCACGCGCCGCTCCGTCACCTGAAGAACGTAATGGGGGTGTGAGCAAAACCACTATGCTCCTCAAAGACCATTATTGAATTAAACAGCATCGTTAATAACAATATCATGACTTTAAGTATATAAGTACTGAACTTAACTGAAGTTATTCTGATCTCGGCTAAAAGCTGTTAATTCATGTGCACACCCCAATTGGAACATTAAGGCCCGCTCAGCCTCCAAATCGGGACCACAGGCGGAACATTAAGGCCCGCTCAGCCTCCAGCCAGGGCAATAAACTATTCTCATACATACCTCGAACATGGTACGGATATTAAAGACGATGTATAACCAGTACGTGACCCCCACCTAGTAAATTGCTACTAATGCAAGTGCTGGCTGAATGGTAGCTGTCGGAGACTCGACTCTCCTTAAGCTACACAAATTATTGAGCAGAAAATACAAAGTACGAAGCTCAAACTGACAGCTTGATTCTCATTATTATCTGATCTTGCTAGGTTTTGTCGCTCGATTATAAAATTATTTAATCTGGATTTAAAGGATCTGAGCCACTTTGGAAAGATTTGTTGACTTTGAGGCATTCTAGAGTTCTCTGACATATTTCTAAGTCTGGTCTGCTTAACTGATTTATCTGATCTAGCTTATCTGACTGATCTGATTTTATCTGAACTAGTTTATACTGTTCTGACTTATCTGACTGATTTGATTTTATCTGAACTAGCTTATACTGATCTGACTTATCTGACTGGTCTGATTTTATCTAAACTAGCTTATATTGATCTGATTTTATCTGAACTAGCTTATACTGTTTTGACTTATCTGACTGGGTTCAGAAAGATACTTGAATCTCAGTTCATGCTCAAACCGGTATTCCGAACTGATACTCTCGAATCGTCCAGACTGTCCGGACTGATTCGACTGAACTGGACTGGCGACTCGATCTGAAACGGCCGGTGGCTCGTCTGACAGGGTGCAACTCGGTTCAACCGTAGTCCAAGTACATACGCACGGACACGGCATTAGCCGATGCACAACTATTCTACTCGAATCTAGAGTTCATCCGGACTGTCTGGTAAAAGGCCAAATTCGGGTTCTCTACTCAACTGGCTACTTAACTCAGTTTAAGCCGAAACTCAAACTCTAAGTTCAACATGATTTCTAGTGATTTTGGGCCCAATAGCTGCAGCTAATTCTCAACGGAATAAAATCTAGTATTTTTCAATAAAAACAGCTAAAGTCCCGAATTTTTAATCATACCAAACAGTCTCCAAAAATTACAAAATTTTAAACATAACATAATCAGCATTTTTAAGATTTTTCATAAAATTTTCATCGTATTTCGCGGTCTTTCGCATATTTATCAATAAATCGAGCATTTCGGCTACATATTTAAAAATCCGGTTAACATACTAAACGGGCACCAAAAATCACAAAATTAAAACATAGGCCTCAAGTCAGCTATACGAATTTTATCACGTTAGTTTCGCATTTTTCCGGGCAACAAGCAATATATTCTGAATTTAATGCTATTTATACCGATAAATTCATAATAAATCACGTTAACGCTCGGAATCACTTCCCGATAATTTTAAAATTCATCTAAATACTTGCTTAATGCCATGGAGTGAGGTTTTTCAGCCGATATACCTTTCGAAGTGTTCGAAACGTAAATCGGAAATGGGAAGAAATGAGAAGAATAGATCGGCTATAGATCGGGTGCTCAGATCTACTCGGATCTAAGGCTAGTTTGCTGCAAATGATGCGGATCTGAGTGAGGAGTCTCCAGTGTGCTCGTAGGACGTCGAGTCGAGCTGAAAACGGGTTGGTCGGCGCGAGAATCGAGACTTGCTACTCGGACTCGCGCGTAGAAGGAGAGCTGGTCGCAGTTTTTGGCCAGAAACAACTCCAGTCTGACCGGAGAGAGAGCTGCTGCGGGGTGGACTGGTCGAGACTGAGCTTTTCGGCGAGGATGAGAGTGGTCGCGAGCTCGTCGGAGACGGTGGCTTTTTACCGGCAAGATGGAGCTTCGAACGTGAGTGCAACAGCGGTGTCGGGGCTCAACTTTTCCGGCGACAGGTGCTGCCCAAGGTCGAGCTTGCGGGTGTGTGGTCGAACAGCGACAGGCTGAGCTTTGGTCGCCGGAAAACGCGCGGCTGAGGAACGTGCAGGTGGCGTCGGGGTGGTGCAGCGACGGCGAGCTGTGGCCGTGGTGGTGGCTGCGTGAAGATGGTGGCGGGCTTGACTGCGCGCGGTGGTGTTTGAGGTGCGAGCCGGTGGGTTGAGCTGCTCGCCGGCGGAAATGAGCAGTAGCGTCGAGTTGGCTTCCTCCATTTTTTTCTTTCGATTTTTCTTTTCTTTTTTTTTTTTT